CATCTACCACCAGTACCCAGTGGCCCAAATTTTCCCGCTGTGTTCTGTATCCCACCCCCCGCTAAAGACCAAGCTTCCTCTCCGTGTTTTTCTAACCCTGGGCTGCAGCAGGAACTGCATGAATTGCCTGGCTCTGCTCAACAGTAATGAGATAATAATGAGTCCAGGCGGCACCCAGGGGTGCAGGAGGCAATGCCCTGGGTATCTGAGCATTATTTGGGGGGAAAGAGGCAAATCCTAGGCAGGAAGGAAGCAGCAGCACAACGAACTGTCATTTAATGTGCAAGACCGGCAGCAATGAGCTTAGGGCACCAAATCTGGAGCAGAGAGTCATTTCCAGGGGAGTCCTCAGCCCTGCAGGGGCCAGCCAGCAGCAGGGGAAGGGCTGCAGAGAGACACCATCAGTGGGCTAAGCCTCAGGAAAGATCAGGAAGCCAGAGAACATGCTGTCGGACCCTTCGATCCCAACCAGGGAGTTCTTCTCCGTTGGCTCCAGCCAGACGGACTCGTTCACTGCCATCTTGAGGACCACACCACCCGTGGTGACCTGGTAGCTGCTCTGCACGTAGTCGCAGAAGGTCACCACCTTCTCGCCCTTGCTGCCACCCCGGCCCTTTTTCATATTGAGGCACAGGTTGCCCCTGGACGTGACGTGGTAGGTGAAGTAGTAGATGCCTGGGACTCGGCAGGTGAAGCGGCCATACCGGTTCTCGTAGTGGCCCTTCTCGTTGGTGATGATGCGGTCAAAGCGGATGGGCTGCTCCCGGCGTGGGTAGGAGCTGATGGTCCTGGCAGCGGAGAAGGCAGACTTAAGGGTGGCCTTGTAGTCACCGGAGTCCCCCTGAGGGCCAGGGGGTCCCATGGGACCCGGTAATCCCTTTGAACCCGGGGGGCCCTTGGGGCCAATCTTCCCAGGGTGCCCTGGCACTCCTGGGTCTCCCTTCTCCCCTATGTCTCCTTCATGCTCCACCTGGCCAGGGGGACCTAGAAAGTAGGAGGAAGAGTCGTTGTGGTCGCAGCCGAGCCCCACGGGTCTGCAGGGGGGCACTGGGAAGGAGACCACCAGTACCTGTGCTGGCGTGCGGGTCAGAGGAGACCCCTGCCCATCTGGCAGGCGTGGCACTCCTTGCTCTCATGCACCCTCCCTCCCCAGGTTCCTCGAGGTGCTCCAGTCTGTCCAGCCCCTTCTGTCCCCGAGCACCACCCCCACCTGATAACACCCCAAAGGGATGTTGTGGAAAATGGATTGCTTTCCCAGGACTGTGCGGCTGGCACTGCCTGGTCCTGCAGCTGGGTTGGGGCAACCCCCGGTATCAATCCAGGCTGGGGGATGAAGGGATTGAGAGCAGCCCTGCCGAGAAGGACTTGGGGGTACTGGTGGGTGAAGAGCTGGACATGAGCCGGCAATGTACGCTCGCAGCCCAGAAGGCCAACCGTATCCTGGGCTGCATCCAAAGCAGCGTGGCCAGCAGGTCGAGGGGGGGGATTCTGCCCCGCTACTCTGCTCTGGTGAGACCCCACCTGGAGCACTGCGTCCAGCTCTGGAGCCCTCAGCATAAGAAAGACACGGACCTGTTGGAGCGGGTCCAGAGGAGGGTCACAAAAATGATCAGGGGGATGGAACACCCCTCCTATGAAGAAAGGCTGAGAGAGTTGGGGTTGTGCAGCCTGGAGAAGAGAAGGCTTTGGGGAGATTTTATTGCAGCCTATCGGCACTTAAAGGAGGCTTATAAGAAAGGTGGGGACAGACTTTTTAGCAGGGCCTGTAGTGATAGGACAAGGGTTAATGGTTTTAAACTAAAAGAGGGTAGATTTAGACTAGATATGAGGAAGACATTTTTTATGCTGAGGGTGGTGAGACACTGGCACAGGTTGCCCAGAGAGGTGGTGGATGCCCCATCCCTGGAAACATTCCAGGTCAGGTTGGACGGGGCTCTGAGCAACCTGCTCTAGTTGAAGCTGTCCCTGCCCACAGCAGGGGGGTTGGACTAGATGGCCTTTAAGGGTCCCTTCCAACCCAAACTATTCTATGATTCTATGATTTTCCTGCTCTTGGTATTCACAAAACAATGTTTTCCCCACCTGCAGCCTCCTCCTTACCTCGCTCGCCCTTTAGACCATTCTCCCCGTCTCTGCCATTGCTGCCAGGCTGTCCTGGTGACCCTGGGATGCCTGGGATGGTGCCATAGGTCTTGCAGAGTGTGGCACTTGCAAGCTGCCCTCCAGCCAAGCAGATCAGCATCACCCACACAGTCTGCATCTGCTGGAGCACAGAAAGATGTCGAGCGGCTTGCCTTGGGCAGTGGGAGGGTTGGGGAAGGCACTCTGTGCTGCTCTGGGGGACAATGACTAGAAGCGCTTCTGGGTAATACCATCAGGGAGGGAAAACATCCTGCTGCAGAGCCAAATCTGCTCACCTGATGGCCTTGGAGGGACCAGCCCCTTTGGGCATGGGAGGGCTTGTCAGTCTCTTTCTACACTTAAATTACCAGTTTACAAGTGCCCAGAGCTTCAGCCACATGCATATCTGGGGACCGGTTAGCCTGTCCCAGAGGTCTGATATCCAGCCTGGCCATGCTGCTGCCACGGACATGTGCTGCAGGTCCCTACTGTTCTGAGCCACCACTGCTCCCGCAGAGGAGAAATTCTCCATCACATCTTAGGACTACATACGTAGGGTAAAATCCTTCCCCAGGCCAGAGCAGTTTCATCATCTGCAAGGGGATATCTCTTGCTTTCCACCAGCATGTCTAAGGGACAGCTTTAGTCCTTACAGATGGCAAAGAAATCCCCAAACCTGCCCTCCTAACTCCTGCAGGTTCCTGTTGTGTCCTGCCACACGCCTGCTTCATCCCAGGAGCATTTCTGTATCTAACCAGCCTTACTGGGACAGTCATCCAGGCTTCCAGTCCCCAGGGTCCCATCTTCCTTCTTCCCTCCCTGCATCCCACAGCTCAGCTCCTTCCCCCAGCTCCTGGTGCAGGTGCGGGTGGGGTAAGCACTGGGCATTTGGGGGCTGTATCTGGACATCACATCACCCCAGCCACACTCTCTGGCTTCAGATGGACTTTCCCAGCACTGAAACTCTGGTGTCAGTGGGAAAAGAGCCCGGTGAGTCAGATCCTCAAGCCACAGCAGCTCCGATTCAGATGTGGCAGGTACAAGGACTGATCTGCAGGCTCCCAGCCCAGGCCCAGGCAGACAACAAAAGCATCTCAGGGCAGGAGAGCACCCCCAGCACCTTTCAGACTGATGCTCAGTCCCTGATCATCCCTCTGGGCCTTTGCCATCTCTCCTTTCCATCTCCCCCTTCCCCCAGGTGGGGCAGGAGGGGTTGGGGTCCCACCAGGGATCTCCACCACCCCAGCCCAGCAGCCTCCTTTCTCTTCTGCCACAGCAAAGTGCCAGTGATGCAGGGGGTGACTGTCACCCTGGTGCTGCCAGGCTCCCTACGTGCTCCTGCCTGCAGGGGGGACCTGGGGCTCAGTCTTGCCAACGGCTTGCTCTTACCTTGAACGTCTCGTTGTACGGACCGGGAGATGGAGCAGGACACACCAGCGTCCTGCTTGGAAATGACCATGGGGGGAAGCGGAAGTTTGCTGCAAGGGCTGTTGTGAAAGGATCTCGGCCACATCCTTTTTTTATCTTTAGCTCCTGCCCTTTCTTCAGTAGCACTTTCATATCCGCCACGAATGCTGTCTGTCAGCTCAGCAGGACATGCTGTCCCCAAACGGCACTCTGGAGCCCCTCAGGCATACAGCTCTGGCCCTGGGGAGCAGAGGGATGTCTGCTGTGCCCTGCAGGGCACCTCGGTCCTGCTCGGGTGTTCTTGCTATGGGGAACGCTGCCGTGAGCTCCAGACAAGTTTGGGGTAACCCCTCGGGACTGCAGAAATGTGCATGCACATAGCTAGCATCCTTCAGGCTTCCCTGTACATACCCAGCTCTGCTGGGAGGTACCGGCAGGCCCAGAGGACGCTACAGGGCCTCAGCATCCACCACCTTGAATCTGTCCCCCAGGCTTCCCTAAATGTTGCAGATGGGAAGTGATTTCACCCTGCAGTAAAAGCATTTCCAGTCCTGCTTTCTGCTGATCTCTTGCGGAGGTGAAGCACAGGACATTCAGAAGAGTTGACCTCTTTTTCCACTGTACAATGTGTGCTACCAGGAGGAATCTCCATTGGGTTTTGGTGGGCTCTCTAGCCTCCACAGCCATGAGCTCCTTTGGTCTTGTCCTGGGAAGCCGGTGCTTCCCCTGCCCTGTCCCTGGTGAGGCTGGGACTCTGGGGATGTCCCAGCCACTGGAGGCATGGCTATGAGGTTTTACTGCATGGTCTGTGGCCCTCTGCAACTGAATTGCGTTCACTTGGAGGGGAAGGGGAGTATCAGGGCCCCTGCTTGGAGGAGTCTTGGTCCCCCCCCCTAGGTGGGGGCTGTGTGTATGGGCATGGGAACTGTCCCCTTTCCACAGTCAGTGCAGCTGGGGCTCCTACCCCACTGAGCAAAGCCAGGGCTGTGAATGGTGTGGGATGCTCACTGATGGTGAGCATGCCTGAGCCAGCAAGGGCTTGGGGACGTCCTGATGCCACACAGACGTCCAGATGTCATGCAAACACACACACACATGCATGCACACCACTTCTATCTGGCTACATGTGGGCTCCACCTGCTGAAAGGCAAGTCAAGCAGGAAAAAAGACACTAGGCCAGGCGCACTGGGGAAGGTTTTATTGACACTTTCCACAGCCGGGTCATGGCAAAGGTGCTGCTGCAAGCCTGCTCCAGGACACCTGGGTGTCCCTGGTGCAATCCAGGTGGGAAGGGGAGAGACGCAGAGAGACCTCTGGCTCTGGCAGCAGAAGGTCATCCGGGGTTATCAGGGTGGATGCATGTGGCAGTGCCAGTAGGACCCTGGGGTCTTGGCACCATCATTCTGGGTTCAGATGCATCCAGACATGCCTGTTCCCTCCATTCAGCGGCTGCCTGTTCTCGGTCCCCAGGCCAGGGGGTTGTGTCTGGCGGCTGGGGCTGACCCCCTCACTGGGGCTTCCCACCCAGCAGAGAAACCTGGAGCATCAGCAGCATCAGCAGCATCGGTGTTTGCAGGGCAGGGCGAAGAGGTCGGCATGCTGGGGTGGGCTGTGGTGGTCCTCTAGTCTGGGAAGAGCAGGAACCCCGAGAAGACGCTGTCGGAGTTGCCAGTGCCCACCATGCCATTGTAGTCGTTCACCGCCAGCCAGACCTCGTTCCCAGCACCCAGGTGGAGGAGGATCCCACCAGAGCTGACCTGCATGGTGTTGGTCTTGTGGTCGCAGAAGCTGGCCATCTTGTTCTCATCCTTGTACAGGATGACGCAGAGGTTGGCTGTCTGCGAGGTGTGGAAGACGAAGTAGTAGAGGCCAGGGAGCTTGCAGGTGAACTTGCCCGTGGTGGTGTCATAGTCATGGTTGGTGTTGGTGATGACGTGGTTGAACACCACGGGGACGTTCTTCAAGGGGTGCTCACTGGTCTGCCTCATCACTGAAAATGCTGACTGGTGCTTCTGCTTGTAGCTGCCTGGCATACCCGGCTCTCCAGCAACGCCCATCATCCCAGGGTCTCCAGGGTCTCCAGGGGGACCGATGGGGCCAGTCTTGCCTGGCAAGCCAGGGCTGCCCGGTTCCCCTTTCATGCCCTTGGGCCCTCGTGTTGCAGGAGTGGCCGGGATGCCTGTGGGGAAGTGGGGAGTGAAAGAGAGTCAGCATCAATGGCAGGATGTGGGGAAAGGCTCCTCCAGCCCCTTCTCTCAGGCAGAAGAGGTTCGTTGCCTCTCTCCAGCCTCCTCTCCTCCTGCCCTGTCCACAGAGGATGCCTGCAAGCCAAGGCAGACCAGCCACGGAGGACTCAGTGGCCCCCCTTCAACAGCCTGTGTGGTTCCCCTCCTTGCTCACTCACCTGGCTCGCCTTTGGCTCCCTTCAGCCCATCCCGGCCATCCTTGCCCGGCACACCCGGCATGCCTGGCAGGCCTGGAGCCCCATAGCAGCTGTGAGGGGCATCACTGGTCACAGCAGACCCCAGATTCAGGAGTACGAGGGTGAGGGCCAGATGGAGCTGCTCCCAGAAGCTCTGCCCCATTTTGGTGCTCTGGAGCATGGAAAGGGAAAGAAAGTGCTGGTGTGAGGGGCCACAGCAGGGTGGCTTCCAGGCCATGGGGCAAAGGAGGTACTGTGCTATGAGGCTGACTGCACCAGGAGCACCTGGCTGCGATGGCTGTGCCCTCAGTGTCCCCCCCATACCAATTGCCAGGCAGTGGGGAGGCAGATATGTGGCGACGGACCCTGGGTTCATCACCACCACCAGGGCAGCCCCTGATGGCACAAGGCAGGTTGGACTTTCAGTCTGCATGGAGCCATGAGGTCTTGTAGTACCCGTGGCCAGCCCCAAGCTCTCCCGATCCAGTGTCCCGAACCCCCTGCAGATGCATACACCGCTGCAGACCGTTGCACCATGCTGCACTGAGGCTGGAGCTCCCTGGACCCAGCTGATCTCACCCCTCCGCCAGCAGCAGCCTGACTTTCCTGGTTCTGCCCATCAGGATCAAGCCCCCCAGCAGCTGGGGATCTCCCAGGACAGCGCCTGGCCCAGGGGACTGGGTCTTCCCCCAGCAAGGACAAGTGTGCATCCCTCCCCCATGACATGTGTGCAGCCTGGCAGTGCCTCTGTCTCTTTTTTCTCCCCCTCCTCTCACATAGCCCAGCCCTGTGCCATGCTGCTGGACCCCCAGTCCCCATGCAGCCCACCCCAGACCCTGCAGCACCTCTTACCTCTGGTGGGGGGAGCAGGGCACTGGATCCTGCGCTGCTGAGCCCTCTGGCTGCTGTGGGCACTGCCTGCCAGCACAGCACTGCGTGGGTGACTCTCCGTGACACCCTCCTGGAGGAAGTCATGGAGTTAGGAAAGGGCCCTTGGGGACCCAGAACCCCCAGCTGGCACCCAGCCGAGTTTCACATCCTCCTTCCTGATTATTTCCTCTGAGCAAGCACTTTCCTGGCTGTCCAGCAAGACTTGCGCGTGTACCACTGCAGCAGCAGGGGCTGGAAGGTCAGAGGCGGGATGAGCCCCATGTTTGGGCCACAGACCCTCCATCCACCACAGGGAGTATTGCTCTGCAAATCGCCTGCCTTTCCTTCATCCTTAACTCATTTCTGAGCAGAAGGGCAGCAAGCGGATGGGGAGCAGGCCCTCACGCCAGCTGCACAGAGGCAGGGCCGTCTGTGCAATGATGGCCTCGTGCAAGGTCATTGCCTGGCTCTGAAGGGAGATGCTGCACCCCTAGGCAATTGGGACTGAAGGACATTTCTCCTTGAGGATTTCTGACCTGCAGGATGGCTGTCCTCTCTGCACCCTGCCCTGTGCTCCACCAGCTTTGCTGGGTGCTGAATGCACTGGGGCCCCACCATCTCTGGTCAGGGTGTTGCTCGTCGCATGTGATGCGGCCTCCTCCTCACTGCTCCAGGAATGGAGACATTTGACTGCCTGGCATGTATGGAGCAGCTCCTCCGAGCAGCAGTCCCAGGGTATGGCTCCTGCGTGGCTTCCCTGATGCTTTCTGGCTGCCTGATACGTGCCCAGCCTGCCCTATTTCCCACTAGTCTCACCCCAAGCTAAAGACAGAGGAGCATCGCCCCACAACCCCACCACCAACACCCCACAACCCCATCAGTCACACTGATGTCCCTGTCCCTCCTTGCTGAAAGGCTGGAGGACCACAGCTGCCTTTCGTCTTCCTGGTTTGGGTACCAAGAGAGGACCATGTGGGTGAGGTGCATGGTCTGCTGCCTGTATCTACCCTTGTACGGGACAGCTAGCTTGGACTCATCAGGAAAAGGACACATAGGCTAGTCCCAGAGATTTCCCATTCCTGTAAGTGCCAGCTCTGCTTGCGCACTCAGTTCCCTCTTGTCCTTTGCAGTTGGGGTCTGTGCTTGGCCAGGGGCAAACTGGGATCGCTTCTCTCCCTGGGCAGCTTGGGAAGGGGCCCAGGACACTGGTGGTTTGGGGAAGATGCATGAATAGGAAAGAAAACTCAAGCAGCTGTCTTGGAAGAAGGGTTTATTTATACTGATGGGGAGGATGTGAGAGGCAGTAGTGGCCTGGCGCCAGAAAGACGTTTGCAACGGTTAGTGTAGCAGAAGCAGTGGGACGCAGTGATTTCCCACTCAGGGATAAAGACCCACAGCTGGTGAACGGCCCCAGTGACAACTGGTCTCCTCCGGTGTGGGGTCTGAGCATCCAGGAGCAGAAAGGGCTGCTGCGGCCAGGAGGCCTCTGCCTCCAGGGTGGAGTGGGCAGGCTCAGCACGGAGGTAACTGCTAGCAGGGGTCTCACTGCTGCAGTGGTGACCCACAGCCTGGCCACTTTGTGACATTGATGGAAGCACAGGACCTGTCTGGTGGCTCAATTTGGGGCTGTCCTGGTTTGCTGTGATACTAAACCACTCCACGCACTCACAGGGGGGAAAACACATGCAGACACGCACACCGCAATGCTCTGGTGCTAAGCAGGTCTGGACTGGCAGTCCATCAGCCCGTCTGCGGGAAGAGCATGAAGCCGCTGAAGACACTGTCTGCCTCGGAGCCGCTATAAATCATGCTGCCCCTGGCAGGGTCGGTGCTTATGGAGACCTGGTCACCCACGGCCAGGCTGAGCACGCTGCTGCCCGAGTTCACCTGCAGGATGTTGCGGCTGTTGTAGTCACAGAAGCTGACCACGCGCTCCCTGTTCTTGGTGATGCTCAGGCAGAGGTCCCCGCTGGAGACCACCTGGTAGGCGAAGTAGTAGAGCCCGGGGACGCGGCAGGTGAACTCCCCCGTCTGGGGACTGTAGGAGCTCTCCTGGTTGGTGATGATGTTGTCGAACACCACCGTCCTGCCCTTGGACGGTGGGGACCTCCGCGAGGCAGAGAAGGCAGGACGTGGCTGCTCCAGGATATTGCCAAGTTTCCCCTTGTTCCCTTTCGGCCCTGGCTGGCCTGGGAGCCCGGGGGGGCCGTGCGGGCCGTGGTAGCCCCGGTTCCCTGGGATGCCAGGAGGCCCTGGCTCGCCTGCATCCCCTTTGATTCCCTGGATGCCCGTCCTCTGTGCTGATTTCCCTGGGGAGAGGTGGTGAGGAGGAGCAGTTTATGCATGTCTGGCATCTCCCAAGCTGCTCCCACAGCCCATGATGCTCCTGCCAAGAGGCTTGAGGCTCCCAGGCCACCCACACTGTGGATCCCTGGCTCCCCCTTACCTGGCTCTCCCGTGTCGCCCTTCTGCCCCGGCCTCCCGTTGAGGCCAGGGACTCCGGGAAAGCCGTCCTTGCCGTCCGGTGCCCGACACACGCCATCTTCCAGCAGGGCCATGCCCAGCACTGCTGCCAGGGTGCTGGTCGCCAGCCAAAGCCCAGGTTGCATCCTGCCTCCCTACAAGCACAGTGATGGGGGAATTGGGGATGGAGGCAAGCACACAGCAAACACACAGACGCATCTTGGACACAGGCATGCAAGTGCTCTCATCAGATGCATGCACAGATCTACCACACCACCCATGTGTTGACCAGTACAGATAGCCGGACACCACATGCGATGGTGAAAATAACGTCACAGAAGGGTTTTGAGGCTGTTTCACTGCATGAGCTGAAATCACTGGTGTTACTGATAATGTCTGACATGTGTCCATGGCAGGGCTGTGGGATTGGAGAGCCCAGGATGTGGAGCACAGCATAAACCCTTTGGTGCATGTCCTGGGGATGGGTGGTAACGCATCAGATGCATGCATTGCTTCCAGTATTGAGGGAGCAAGCACTGATGGAGGGGGCAGTGGTCGCATAGGATGAAGAGCACAAGTGAGGAAGGTGTGCAAAGAGACACAGCAGAGGAAGGATAAACAGGAAAGGGATAAACAGGAAAGGGATGAGCAGGAAAAAGGGGATACAGATCTCCAACACACGGAACTGGGAGAGAGGAGGGAGGTCCTGAGCACACAGACCTACCCCAAAACCTGGGGTACTCAGCCCAGGACAAGCCTGAAGAGCCCAGTGATGTCCACAACCACATGAAGCAAGGACAGATTCCTGCAGCAACCCCCCCCATCATCTTCTCCCCCTTTTCCTACTTTAAACCCTCATGGAGGGGGGAAGTGAAGAAAGGAGGGGAACAGGGAGCAAGGATTGGAGAGCAGTGGCAGAGGAGACCTGTATCCCCAGCTATTTGGGGTGACTTACCTCCTTGCTGGGGGTGAAGACAGACCAGTCTGAGCAGCAGCTCTGTTTGCTGGAAGCTCTTCCTGGGAGTAGGGAGGAAGAGGAGCAGGGTGGGGGGGATGTACTTGCATGCACGGTGGTTTGCCTGGTTGGGGAAGAGAAGTGCCAAGTTTCACTTTCTTTAATAAGAGAAACTTGTTCCTCTTTCCGCGCTCAATCCTGGCTGTGCTCGTCACAGTCAGAGAACAGCTTGGTCAGCAAAAGTGCAGGACCGCAGGGTTCCTAGCCTGGCCCAGCAGCACAGTCCCAGCAGCAGGGACCGGTGGTGACTGGGCACAAAGCAACACAAAGTTGGAGGGTGCCCAAAGGCATGCCACAGCTCTGTCACTGCAGGAGGGGACAGGCGATGTGAGCACTAGGTGGCATGGCCATACAAGGGATGCTCAGTGGGGCCCAGGGATCACTCTTGATGGCTCCTGGACTAGGCGATGGGCAGAGCGCGGCTGTCACTAGTACCCAGCCTTGTCATCACTGCTGCTGGGCGCTGACCCCTCCAGATGCCCACCTTGGCTCCGCACCCTGACAGATCAGGGCTCCAGAAAAAGGACCATTAGTGTCTGTCTGTGCGGCTCAGCAGGGCCTTGACCATCCTTCATGAGACATCTCCTTCCCACTGCCTCACTTCAGTGGTTTGGGGACCTTGTCTCTGTAGTAGAGCGAGAGAAGATGGGGCTCTCTGGCACCTAGGTTGCTCCTGGTTCCCTTTGAGTGGCTGTGCCTTGCACCAGCCAAATTTGGGCAACCCCAGGAGCTGTGCGTGGCCTGACCCAGACCTGCAAAATGAAAAAGCCTCACACCACCGAGCCCAGGGAAGGTGCCCAGGGGTGCGCATTCAGCTCTGCCACAAAAAAGCCCCAAAATGCCACCAGTATGCAAGCCCCACTACAGCAGGGACCAGAGGCATGAGATGTGCCGCAGCAAGCCCAGCAGGTGAACATCCTTGGGACCCTGGGCACCAGCAGGGCCACCCCATGGGGGAATGCAGTGGGCAGCTAGGAGGGGCTTTCTGGTCCATATCCACCTGGAGTCTCCTTTCAGGAGTCCTGTGGCAGCTGCGCTGACCTTCATGAGAAAGCAGTGTTGGGGTCCCCAGAGCAAACGCAGCAGCAGCTGGAGCTCAGGGGAGGATGTTCAAGGAAAGAGGATGGTGTGTAAGCCTGGGGTCAGGGTGGTCCCAAGGCCAGGGCGGGCTGGCAAACCCTCCGTTCCCCCCACCCGCTGCCTCCAGCGCTCCCAGGGAAGTTGTTGCATTGTTTCCAAAACAGATGAAAAAGGGAACGACTAGTGTGAAACCAAAAATCAGCCCCAGAGACCCTTGCCAGACAAAACTTCACTCATCAGCACATCTCCATTAATAATTACTTTTTGAGATCTGTCACTGAGCTGGTCTTTAATTCATTGAATATATGCCCTCTTAATGCAATATAATACACATTTTTAATCAAAATGTCACCCCATAATAAATCAGATGCCCAGAAAAAATGCAATTTTATTCTATCAGCAGAGTTCCTCTATCAACCAGACCTGTAATTGTGTCAAGAAAAGATGACAGGTGAGTTTGAAAAGACCTACCTTCCACAAAACGGTGTTTCTGGACAGTAATTGTATTTCTGCCCTATTGCCCTTTCTTAATATACAGCCAAAATGAGGCCACTCCATCATTTCACCCAGGATTGATTGATGGCTGTGTCCTGGTGCTCCTGTGTCCTTTGTCCCTGACTGCCCCCTTAACCCCATTTAAATGCCGAATTACAGGGGGCTGGTTACGGGTTTCCAGCATCTCCTGGAAGCTGGTGTTGGTCCAGGCGGCACCTCCTCCAGGTCCTTGAGACGCCTGAGCAGTGCTTAGCCCCACTCGATTGACTTTCAGTGTTGCTGCATTCAAGCCAAGCCTTCCTCTCCCATCCTCTGAGCATCTCCTCCTCCTGATCTGCAGCTGCGACATCTGCGGCTCCAGAGGACGGCTGGCTGTGGGGAGCCGTGGCTGAGCATTGCACAGCTTCACCCTGGAGGCTTCTGCAGACCACATCTGCCAGCGCAAAAACACCTCCATCCTGGCACTCTCCTCCTTCCCCTTCCCATCAGGGCGTCTCTGGGAGCGGGTGGTGGCCGAAGGAGACGGTGAGGCCGCCGTGCCCCGCGTGGCACAGGCAGCGGGGTGACACGCCACGAGGTGGCAGTGCTGCCTCAGCCATGCTTGGTGTCACCTGCCATAGGGGACCCTCTTCCTCCTCCAAAAGCAGGGGCGGGGGCGACCCCCTGGGGATCCCCGTGTCCCCAGAGGCCACGCCGCAGGATGTCCAGCTGCAGAGCAAGCCCACGGGCATCTCTGCCTCTGCACCTAGTGATCACACGTCAGGAGCCGGAATAACCCCACTCCCTCCTGCAAAGACAGCCCCAGTGGGGCCACAAATGCCATTCCCCCAAGCTGGGAGTAGCTTGGCACCCCCTGAGACTAGGGCAGAAGTGATGTTTCCTCAGTGAGGGCCAAGCCATGGTGGAAGGAGTGAGGGGTCGCAAAGCCCTGGCAGGTTATCCCTGCTGATACAGGTCCAGCAGTGTCCCACCAGCACCACCGCCGGCAGGCTCCAGCACGGAGAAGGGGCAAGGACGACAGAGGGGACCCCCAGATGACATGAAATGGGGCCAAGCCCAAGGCAGAGGGGAAGGTGGGTGCATGCTGGACTAGCCGGAGGATGTAGGTGCTCTGCAGAGCCCCTGGCGGCACCAAAACCAGCCCCAAAGAGGACAGCCCTGGGTCTGGGGGAACCCGACCACTCTGATGAGCATCCACATCATTTAGGTCACCTGTCATGGCCTCCTGGCTCTGCTGCAGACCCAGGACCAGCCGTGCTCCAGATGGATTTTACCCTGAGCAACCCTCCTCCTTTCAGGATGGGCCATGGGGCAGCTCCTTCACGTCCTTGCTGCCCTCCCGCTTGGTGATGCCAGACAAGTTAGGTCAGTGCCATCCCAGCCTTGCAGCCCTTTGTGGAAAAAAAGTGTCCCCTGCAAAGCCTCCTCCTGCATCCCCAGTGCCTGCAGGCACACATGAGCTGCCTGACAGCAGACAACAGGGAGAGATGCTCCTCCACTGCCTCCCCTGCTGGGCATCTCCTGGGGTGCTGAGCGGTGACAGGCAGGAGCTGCCAGAGGAGGATAAATCAGGTAGCTAGTACCTACCTGTCACTGTACAGGAGACAGTGACAAAGGTAGGTGGTGGGAGATCAGAATACTGGCAGGGACTGCACACACCTCTACTACCAGTCACCAGCATCCCAGTCTGCCACCCACACCCACCAGGAGGTCAGGACAGCTCAGGGCATCTGTGCTTCTGCAGTCACTGGTGGCTTAATGATGCCCGAATAACCATGTAAACTGATTTTGCAGCTGTTGAGCTGGCCTGTCCCAAAATGCTCAACCCGTGCTGCTGACCACCAGACAAATTTCCTGTGCAATGCAATGGCGTTTGCCTGAATTCTGAAGTCTCCCATGCTTTGATCAACAAGACAAGAATCTGGGATGGTTCAGGTGCCCTGGAAGGATTTCCTGAGATGTCAGCTGAAAATCAAGCTGCAAGGCCACTTGCCACGTGATGTCTAAAATGTTTTAATTGCTGTCCCAGGGGATGTGTTATTCCTATGACAGATGCTTACACAGAGCAGGTGTGAGGAGCAAAGACAGGTATGGGGTTTAGAAGCCAGGATTTCACACTCCAGCCCTTGCTCACTGTCTCCTAGTGTTGACGCACATCCCTGTTGGCTCATGGGATGAGAGGAGATAGATGAGTGCTGAGCAGCCCTGGGCAGTGCTGGGAAAGTTTGTCCCATCCCTCCTCCTCTTCTTCTCTGTTAAGAATGTCAGGGCTTGTCATTATTCGACATCTATTGGTTAATTTGGCTGATTGTTTCCCATTCTTTAGTGTATCCAGTTCCAGATTGATCACTTTGGCATGCAAATGAACTTGCTCTAGTGCTTGTCACTGAAATTTGTAGACTGGGAGAGTTTGCAATCAAACACAGCCAGAATCTAAATTACAACATTTCAGGCAATAATAGCAGGGAGAAGACAGGAAGGATGTGCCATAAATAAGATGGGATCAGAGCAGGGTGCCCAGAGCTGTGCTGACAACACACCAGGAGCCCCGAGGCA